CAAACGGAGACGTAACAGTACTTTCTAGACTTTTACTTTCTCATGAAATGCCTGAATTTTATTGGATGTTGACTTCTGAATACTTGTAGTGTGTCGTCTGTGAATGTGTTCGAATGCAAAAAAAAAAAAGTTGGTTTTGGCTCTTTCTCATGATATAACAAACCACTGCTAACTATTATATTACACTGAAAATTTAAAACTCAATAACTCTTGTTAACTTCGACGTAAATTTACTAATACTTGAAAAAATACTGAGGGCCTAACAGTTTGTTTGTTTATAGTTAAGCACAAAGCTGCACATAAATTTTAAAGTATGTTGACTACAAAAAAAAATCCTTCGTCATCTATATATATTCATACTTATAATCATAAAATGTGTTTAAAATACTGAAGATCGTCTGTATACCGAACTTGCATGTTCATGTATAATACGAGTAAGTTTGTTTACGATTGAGCCAGCAATTTCCCATGACGTCATTTCCGTACATCAGCCAAAAGTCAATGAGAAATTACATTGTAACTTTTGATTGGACAATACTATCACGTGGTACTGCTTCGTCAGATCTTTTGTTAAACCAACAAAGTCAATGTAAAAGGTGTGCAAGATCAGAAAGCACTTATCTCGGTGTACCGTGTTGACTGTGGTACAATGTGGGTAAATGAAACGTTAAAAATTAACTCCTATATATTCTGTTACTCACACATTTCCAGTTTACTCTGTCATAAGTAAACTACTTCCAAAATGAGGGAGCGTCAATCTTCTTTCGATGAATACTCAAAAACGCTAAATGTATCGGAACTCTCGCCAGAAGACAAGACTCGCACCCTTACTTCTGGTGTAGAATGGTATTAGCTTTTCTTCAACCCATTCATCTCAAAATTATGCCTTCTCTTGTGTATTTTGAGGAACAACAAGCCATGAATCAGGAACGGCAAGTGTCTCCCCAGTGGCTTGTTGACCAAATCCGTCATCACGGCCAAGTTCTGCCCTTGGACTGCCGTTCGTGCACCGAGTACCGCCTCTCCCACGTTCATGATGCCATAAGTGTTGTCATACAGGCCTCTACTATAATGTTACGTAGACTTTCAAACGGAAAATTAACTGTTTCAAGTTTAATCAGGGATAATGAAAGCCGTGAAAAGTTCACCAGATTAAGCCAAACGCATATTATCGTTTTATACGACAAAAAGGGGGAAGAATCTATTAGTATTCTTACCACGATGCTACGAAGACTCGAGCAAGATGGCTGTCGTGCTGTTTGTTTACAAGGTAAATTAAAGATATATTTTTTCTACTATTGTGTAAAAATAAAAAAAGTGACATTACAATATATTAATAGTATTATTACTATTAATTTAGAGCTGATTGAATGGTAGTATGCCATTGAGTTTAAGCGCTTTTAAGTTTGTGAATTGCTTGTCTGATTAAACGTAAATTTTAACAACAATTAAGTTTTTATTTATTTATTTACAGTTACACATAAACAAGTATTTGTATAAAAACATCTTTTTTTTTCTCACTTCGTTTCATCAAGTTTACCTAGCAACAGCTTCATCAGAAAGCAGGCGTAGTAAATTTAGCGAAACAGTGTTGAACCTGAAAAAGAAAATAATGGCATTTTATTTTGAACATATATCCTTGGTAATCTGTACATAAGTAAATCACTTTAAAATTTGGTTTGATAAGTTCTTCCTATTCACTATTCAATAATTAAGTTTAACTTGAGATTAAATTCGAGTATTCAAACAGGTTTAAGCGTAGTTAGAAACTTCTCAGAAAAAAGTTAGAAAGAAAGGTTCATCGAATGTTTTAATTGTGTGAAAAGATAAATATACGGGTCAGAACTTGTGCTCAGTTTAATAAAATATGTTGGCTGCAGAAACTTGTAAAACATCAACGTTGTCAAAAATTAAAATTCCGAAAGATTTGACACTATCTATGATATGAGTAAAAAAGTGATTGTACTTTTTAAAACAAGACTTATGTGATATAACTTATAAACTATAACTTATAAGGTGCATGAGAACAAACCTACTATTATTGTAATACCAACTGAACTTCTGTAAATAAAATTCATAAAATAATGGTGTTAGAAACACTCAGAGGAGTAGAGCAACACTTGTAAGTTGTAATCGGGCAAAATTACAGTGATGATTATGTTAAGTATTGTAGGTTGTAACTTGTTAGCGCGTACAAGAATGTATGTATGGATTGTTGTGTTATGGGGCAATTACAGACATACATACATACTCTGAGGGCCTGTTTGTGCATAGTGGAGACACCAGATCTTCATCCAACACCACATAATCGTTTAACGCGGCTTTTTGCGTAATAAAAGTCGTCGTACATTTCTTATTGAAAACGCTGGTTTAAATCCAATGATTCATTGTTTTCTGCTTCCAGTCATCAGACAGAGTTTCTAAATGATTGAGTTAAAAGTTTTTTCTCTAAGTTTAGTCCACGCCGAAAGATTTAAACTTAATCCAACGTACGCGTCTTTTTAATTATATATCTAGGTCTACTAAAGACAAAGTATTATGGCTACTTATAGTAATATAATTGTTAGTATGCCTATTGAGTATTGTTAAAAATACAGTAGGCCTACTAAAGATCACGCAGAGAATTAATCCGAGTAATTAAGTTGTTAATATTATATTTCGCATATTTCCGATTGCTACGTTTTATCGATTGTAGTATGATAGAGGGCGCTGAATTATTTGAGTTAGTTCACGGTATAGGTGTTTAAAAATTTACCTAGCTTAACTACATTACCAATCAATGCCTGCTTTAGAAAAATTTATTTTATTGAAAATTTCAACTTAAATATTTATAAGTCAACTTCAACCAAAAACTTTTAAATCATTTCGTCATCCAATTATATTAATACCCACTGTAAAATATTAACATTTTCTATACATTCATATGCTTTAGCCTTTATCGATCCATGTGACATGTTCATGATGTTGATTTATGTCTTAAGTTAAGACTAGATTAATAGTGGTATGACTAAAAGTCTTACTTGCGATGTTCGTTTATTTGTTAAGGTAGAATATGCCCTTTACATAATGTTATCTGGGTTTTGGCCTTTTTATCAGAAAAAAAAAATCTTCATACTATGTTTTATGTATGAAAATATATTGAAATAGGTACAACTACAAGGACATATTCTGGCGCATGTTGTGTAACAATACCACTATGGTTAATTTGCATATTATAAAAATAAGGAAAGTCTTATGTTTCTGATAACTTTTAGAAATATGACTGAATGCCCCTGAAAATGGGTCCAGACTTTGATGTATGTGAGGAATAAGTCTGAAGTAAGAAAAACTGAAAATTCAAGGTTGTATTACATCACTGATGAATATGCCCAAAGTAGGAGATATGGTACAGTGGCTCATTAATGGTCATTTAATATCAACTTTACCTTAGTAAACACTACAGATACACTAATACTGCATACTTATGTCAATTGTGAAGTCTATAGCATTAATAGATCTGAAGTTATAAGATAAAAACACCATGAGAGTGTCCATTTTCAGGTTTTGAGAAAAACGTTTAAAGTCATATGGAAACCTTTTAATTTTCATATTTTTTAAGTGTTTTTAGTTTGGCTAAAACGTTTTTGCACTCAACATTAAAAGTAAAGGGGTTAAGGATTCAAAATATGCAAAAAAATTAACTGTGATATTTTTTGACATTTAAAAGGTATATGCTACCGAAAACATTATTGTCTGATAAATGTGACCCCCCCCCCCAATGTTAAGAATAGTGACATTTTATCATAAATGTACAAGTTACAATGTCTACAATTATAATAATGTTGAGCAAATTTCAACAGCTAAGCCTGATGATGATGGGCATTTGCCAGAAACATATATAATAAAAGAAAACTATTATAGATGTCTTAACTTTTTACAATATCTCTTGGTACAATTTTTCCATATCTTGTGGTCTTTTTATGTGGTAAAATCAATAGGTATATCATAAGGTCTTTAACACTGTATAAGGAAATAATATAATATTGTTTAGTATCAGTAATGGCACCTCCCCTGTTGCATTACATAAGTTCCGAGTTAAAATTCTGCTTGATTCTGTGTTATTGGATAAAGTTTTCAACAGGATGTAACTAATAACTACAAATTCAATGACGAGGAACCCACTTTGAGACTAATAATGCTTGGAGATGGTTTGAATGGGTAATGATGAAAACTTTAATATAAGTTTAACATAACAGCAAATGTATAACGTTTCGAAAAGGTTTTGTCAAACTACAAAGTAAAATTATGTAAAATTGAAATTCAAATGTATTGCATTTAAACATTTGTGTAAACTGTCTGCCATTGTATTCAGCACAGGTGACAAGTTCTGGTACAAACAAAAGGTACCTTGGGCAACAAAGTGTGAGAGACAAAAATATATTTAAAATACTATTTTGACACACATCTTCCATTTAAAATCCGTGATGGACTAATATAGAAAAATTTATAAAAACATTTGTAGTCTGGTGTGATTTTTTGTTAAACGAGAAGAGCTGTACTGAATGAGGGATTGAAACTTTTTTTTTTGGAAATTGATGAATTTGGATACAATTTTCAATACATATAAGTCTTATGTTGGACCACACCGGTCATGGTTATTTTGATATAACTTGTTGAAATCTGTATATTCAAGATTACTTGCTACCTGAAATATATGAAAAATTGTTATGCAGCTGTAGAAAATTTTATCTGAACAACCGATTTAAGTAAAATTAACTAACATGTGGCTTCAAGCACATCAAATAAATCAGTTTTTATTGTTACTTAAGTGTTAAAATTTGTTTTTAAGTCACCTAGAAAAGCACTTCAAAGCTAGACGTCAAGAGCAATTTTTTTTTATGAAGGTGATTTTGTAGTTGTTTTGTATTTCAGTTTTCTAAAAGCCTTGTTAAGTTTGATACCTCTAAAACATTTATTTTTGTAGGCTAGACTTTTATATAATTTGCAGAAAACTAAAAAGTGCATGCATATAAAATTGGCTTAATGTCAGACAACAGAGTAGGCATGTCTCTCATCCCCCAGGGGTCTCTTTTAAGAATGCTAATGTTCAGTAGTTATATCAGTGATTTCAGGAGTTACTTTGGCAGTATTATTTCAAAATTTCCGGGAAAAAATGGAAAAAACTGGAAAGTAAGTTTCAATATGGAGAAATGTAATGTGGTGCACCTGGGGCACAGAAACTTGGAAAAGATTTATCTCTTGTACATTGATACTGTAGAAAAACAGAATTTATGTATCACTAAATATCTATAACCCTTTTCCAGGTGTTTGACTGAGAATTTTGGGATCTTTGTGTAGAATTTTAAGTGCTAGAGAAGGTGGTTGATATAATATTGTTTATTAACTTCAGTGAGGCATTATGTTTACTTTAGTCTACAGTTTTGCTCTCTCCTGGAAGATACTTGGAAGAGTGATTACTTGGGTTTAAAACTTTTCTGTAATGGTAGGCTTATATTCTCCTAGAATGTAGTGAAAGTAGACGAGACTTGAATGTGTAAAATTGTTAGGTTTTCGGTTAAATTAATGATAGTAGGACTGGATGAGTTGTGGAACAGTAAGATAATCTTGTGCCTTACAACACTACTCCCAAAGTTTACTTTGTAGTTCATATTCTACACCACTAGCTTTCTGACATTATTCCATACTTTATCTGTCACATCAGATACCTGATTCACATGTGTAGTTCATATTCTACACCACTAGCTTTGTAACATTATCCCACACTTATAATCTATAGTCTAACCAATGACCTGTACAATAACATTATAACCTCTAGTCTAACCAATGACCTGTACAGTAACATTATAACCTCTAGTCTAACCAATGGCCTGTACAGTAACATTATAACCTCTAGTCTAACCAATGACCTGTACAGTAACATTATAACCTCTAGTCTAACCAATGACCTGTACAGTAACATTATAACTTCTAGTCTAACCAATGACCTGTACAATAACATTATAACCTCTAGTCTAACCAATGACCTGTACAATAACATTATAACCTCTAGTCTAACCAATGACCTGTACAGTAACATTATAACCTCTAGTCTAACCAATGACCTGTACAATAACATTATAACCTATAGTCTAACCAATGACCTGTACAATA